TTTAACTGCTTGGCCACAGTTCTCCTTTCCCAGCCTCACTCTCGCCCTCTCCTGGTTGTCAAGGAATTGTCAATTCCTGGGTTAGTCCCCTTAGAATTCGGTACTTAGGGCTGTGGTTCTCAGTTAGAGATTCATCTAGGGTTGCTGTGAAAACAGTTTTGTTACTTAAAAAGATAGACTTTAATAATTCAGACCAGTGCTATTAAGGTGATATTCAGACTGGTGTGTTACTGGTCTATGAGCAGATAAAGACAGAAATTGAGAGTAAGAATTTAGAAATATTTACAGCACTTCAGCATTGCCATGGCAGTGTGGGCACATCACCAGTGGAATGGTCTCACTGAACAGGATTTGAACCAAAAGTATCAGTCCATAAAAGATTGGAAATTAAAAAGAGTTCTTTATTACAGATAGTTTCAGAAGCACAGCGATGAATATTTTCTTATATAGAACTCTTAAGTTTCCCCCAATGACTGAATAATTCCTGAATGTGCTCAGGATTATTACAACATCACAAATGCTCATCAGTTGATTGTATTTATCAAAGAGCTTTATGAGCACTTTGTTGACCTAAAAGAGTAATGACACAGGTTTCTTTAAAAATAATCCTTTTATCCATTCATCCATTTATTAGGCATTGCATTCAATAAATATTTTTTGCCGACCATTCGCCATTCTGTGGTGAATAATGGAAGCCCAATTCCTGGCCTTCTGTGGTAATCAGGCAATTGTAACATCAAAATCTCCCAGAGCAAACCTATACATTTGATATTGGAATTTCCTGATTATCGCATAATAATAATCATATGTGGGGAGTATAGGCTGCTCTGGGGGCATCGAGAAGGAGCACCAGCCTTGGGATGTCAGAGGAGGTTCTAAACCTTAAAATAAGTAACTGTTAATAGCAAATAACCCACAAAATAAATCACTCCTTACAGATTGTGATACCTATTTTTTGAGGGCTTATACCATGCTTACACTGTGTCATGCACTATGTGCTCTTCTATGTGTCAGGGACATATTTGTGGATGAAACAGACACAGTCCCTGCCATAGGAGGCTTATAAGCTAGTTCAAGGGAATCAGTAAATGGACAAGAGGATTTCCAATGTTGATGAACTCCAGAAGGAAAGAAAACAGAGTGCTGTGGTAAGTATGAGTATGTGGTGGTGAATATGTCGCAGAGATTCATCAGAGGAGCCCCCACTTAGGAGAGCACATCTGACCTGAAACCCAAAGGATATGGAGAAGCCAGCGTGAGATTATGGGAAAAGAACAGCAAGCAGGCAGAAAGTGCCAAGGCTTTAACGCAAGAATATAGTTGGCATGTTCATGGGTACAAGTGGTCTTAGTCTGTTTTGTGCTGCTATGATAGAATACTACAGACTGGGGTATTTATTTATTCGTTTCTTTTTAAGAGACAGGATCTTGTGCTGTTGCTCAGGCTGGAATGCAGTAACACCATGAGGGCTCACTGCAGTCTCAACATCCTGGGCTCAAGCAATCCTCCTGCCTCAGCTTCTTGAAGCTTGCACTACAGGTACACACCACCACACTTGGCTTATTTTTAAGTTTTTTTGTAGAGATGGAGTCTTGGTATGTTGTCCAGGGTGGTTTCAAACTCTTGACCTTCAAGCAATCCTCCCGCTTCAGCCTCCCAAGGTGTTAGGAATACAGGTGTAAGCCATCATGCCTGGCAGACTAGGTAATTTATAAAGAACAGTTCTGGAGGCTGGGAAGTCCAAGATCAAGGTGCTAGTAGGCTTGGTGTCTGGTAAGTGTCCAGTCCCTGCTTCCAAGATGGCACCTTGAACACTGCTTTCTCTGGAAGGGAGTCACACTTTTTCTTACATGGCAGAAGAGCAAAGAGAGAGAACTCATTCCTGAAAGCCCTTTGTAAAATGCACTAAACCCACTCATGAGGACAGAGTCATGACTCAATTATCTCTCAAAGGTCCTACCTCTTAATACTGTTTTAGTGGCAATTAAATTTCAACATGAATTTTGGAGAGGATAGACATTCAAACCATAGCAGTTGGCTTGTTTTTGGGTTCATGTTTCTCTCTAGAAAGCCAACATGGCTGAAGTGGAGGAAGCAAGGGGGAGAGGGGGGGAGGCAAGCTCAGCGCAGTGAAAGTCATGGTTGGAAGCCAAGTCCAATAGCAGGCCACAGGAAGGTTGTAAGCCACAGAGTGGTATGGTCTGATTTACATTTTAAAGCATTCCCTGGGGATGTAGAGGAGCAAGGGTGGAAGCAGAGAGACTGTTGAGGGGGTTGTGGCAGTCACCCAGGCAGAGAAGATGGTGGCTTGGAGTAGGGTGATAGCAGTAGGAGTGGAAAGAAGGGAAAGCTAACTAGTTTTGCTGGTGGCTTGAATATGGGAGGTAGAGGAAAGAGAGGAGCCAAGAATGTCCCCTGAACTTTTGTCTAGAGCGCCAGTGTGGTACCAGGTACCAAGATGGGGAGCACTAGGGGCATTTGGTACTGGGGGTGGGGGTCTAGAGTTCTGTTTAGGGTATGTAAAATTTGGGATGCTCATTAGGCATCCATATGGTGACTTTGTGAATTTAGGAGGTCAGAATGGGGTTAGGGCTGAACATATAAATTTATAATTGCTGATGGTGTGTAAAACCATGAGACTGCAAGAGATTCTTGGGAGAGGGGGCAGATAGAGAAGGGAAGAGGACCAAGGACTGAGCTGCTAGGACATGAGATCATGCCAACATCTGGCGAGGTCAAGCAAAGAAAGAGGGAAATTCAACTCAGTAGTTGGAAACTAATGTAGTAGGCGCTGCTTAGTTTGTATCCATAGCAAAGATACTTTACCTTCATTATCCACAGCTCTTCCACATGCAGTCGTTGATTGTAGTGGATATATGTGGGCACTCTGCCCGGAGCCTCCCCCATTCCTTGGGACTGTGTATCCTGGTATTGGCGTCAGTGTTCTGCTTTAACAGCTAGATTCTCTATGTCTTTTTTAGAGGACTGCCTCTAAGTGACTTGGAGTCACTACCGCAAGAGAGGAGTGCCTGGGGAGTTATGACTGAAGGCTACAGGAATATGAGAGCCAGGCTTTCACTTCTCTCAGTTTAGACAACTCTGAGTACTAATCTACACTGCCGCATTCCTCCATGGACTTAGACTGAAGCTACCCTCCAGAGAGCTTTTGCGTTAGCACCCTTGCCTGACCTCTATTGGGAATGCTTTCTTAATACATTGTCTGCCTTTGGGCAACTTGACTTAACATATGAACTGCCCTTCCTTCCACCATCTCCCATTTTGTTTTATAGTATAGACATTAGTATAATATAATCATTTTTGTTAATTTAAAATGGGATTAGGTTAAGCATTTTAAAGCATTCCCAACTTCTCAAAGCTTTTTTTTTCAGAATATCTCCGTTTGAGCAGCCGTTAAATGGAAAGGATTTTGTTTTTTATCCTAAAGGCAATTGTCTGTTTTTGCTGATACTGGTGAATTTGTTTACTGTTTAATTAAGTGAAAGATTTCCAAAGAGTCATCTTTCAGCCTTCCAGCTCGTGGAGTACATGCTGATCTCAAACAGATATAACGATTAGATCATTATTTCCTGTTCACACACTTGGTCAATACAATTACGGAAATTAAGCAAGAGAATAAGACAGGGTGTTGAGCGAGTTTGATAGTGGTAAATGCGATCCCATTCTAGCAGAAGCAGCCTGTGAGCTTTTCTATAGGCTCTCCCGTGCTTGTCATTGTGGCTTCGATTTTTGCTTCTAAAACAGTCTGTAGCTATAGTTTGAGCAGGAATTTGAAGCCAACAGCAGGACAATGTGGCTATGTAGAGTTTTTCTTCTGTCTTTGAGGGAAGAGTAAAGTTAGATTCTATTTATTTTGAATGGATTTCCATTTATTTTAGAACTTACGGGACATTTTTATATTTGCATATTAAAAACACTTGGGTCTTTTGCTTTTAAACACTAAGATCCTCCATTCTTTTTACCTCCCCTTCTCTCCCTTCTCCCTTCTCTTCCTTTCTTTTAGAGTAAAAATAGATGCTAAATCTCTACCTGAACACCTCATAAACATGTTTCAAAGTTTGTGAGTGGGTTTTTGTTTGGTTTTTTTGCTTGTGGTGGAAACGCATACCTGTAATAGCTTCCTTAACCTTTTAGCAGTTTTCAGTCTGAGAGTGGGCATAGAAAAGTGTCAATAAATATTTGTTGAATGAAAGAGGTGGTGTTATGTCCTAGGTGCAATCCTAAAGTGTTAATATTGGACCTTTTATTGTTGTGCTCCTGTGCTGAGAGACTTGGTCTCTGGCTCTTAATTGTAGCCCAATTATTTGTCAAAAATATGACAAATATAATGGGAAAATCATTTTTAAATCCTTAAACTGTCTTTGAGCATTTCACAAAATTAAATTTCACTAGATTCAGTGGAAGTGAAATGCCCATTGGTACATTCCTTTTGCCTCTTAATACTTCTGAAACACTTGGATTTTGACCATAGATTTCACAATACATTGACGCGTGCTATTATAAGACAATAATGCATACTTTTTCATGCCTGAACAACACATTGAAGTCAAACTGTGGCATTGAAGCCTAGTTGGAAAATTTTACATCCAGTCAAATTAAACCCATAGTACACACTTAATTTTGTATTTGTTATGTAATTGAAAATATGGGCATCTTCAACTTTCTATTTCTATTCTGAAAACTAAAATAATTGCATTAGAAATTGATTAAGAAAAATAAAAGCAAACCAATTGTTCTTTGTCTATTGACATACCCATACTTATGTTCTGAGTGAGGGTAAAGCATGCCCTAAATGTTCCCAATGTCCTTTGAATGATAAATAGTAAATGGTATTCATATTAACATGTTTATTAATGTATTAGAACTGAATCTAGGTTTTCCATGTTTAAATAGATGTTACAAGTGGGTTTTGTCTGTATTAACTGAGAAAATTTTGGTGCACACAACCCAACTAAAATTTTCCCTCTGGTTTGATTTGAAAGGAATGCGATGTTAATTCTGGGGCGTTGATGTTTTACAATGCCTGATCAAGACAAAAAGGTGAAGACCACAGAAAAATCAACTGATAAAAAACAGCAAGAAATCACTACCAGGTAACTCCCTACTGAGCATTTGCTAATTATTAACTCAAGCAGTGGTTACTGAACAGATTTAATGGCTTTTTGAGAAACAGAAGACTCTTGACAACTACTATTCAGTTATAGTGTTTACTGAAACGTTTGGTCATTTCTAGCATTCTAAAGAAAATGTTTAGTGTGTGTATACGTTCCAGTTGATAAAAGCAGGCCTCCAAGTGGCAATGCCATCAGTGGGTAACATGATCTTGTTCACCTGGAGCCTTCTGTGGGTTCACATTGTGTTATTCTTTCTCCTAGGGACTATTCAGATCTCAAAAGACTTCGGTGCCTTTTGAACGTCCAATCAAGCAAACAACAGGTAGTGTTTACAAAGAAGGTTCACGTGGTAATAAAAGAAAACTCATATGTTTCCAAAGGACTCCATTTAACATCTCTATGAACGATATGTCTGCTTTTCTTTGCTCATTCACATTTTTGCTCTTTCTTCATCTGGCTGTTTCTCTGACACCTGATTCAGGCTCTGCCAAGACTTAGCATCCACATTCTTCTCTCAGGCCAGGCCCTGCTTTAGCCTATGCTTGTCACCCTGTGTCCTACTTAGCAAACCCTTTCCTCTTCGGTCTGTAAACAGACTGCATACTCTTTTACTGAATGGCCAACATTTGGCTTTCCAAGCTTTAGGGAAACTGTTTTTTTCAAAGCACTTTCTACCACATTTTTCTCCTCCTCCTCCCTCACTCTTCCCAATCTTGCCCCCTTGCTACAGTACCATTCTTGAGGCTTGCTGCACAATGTACCTCACCAAAAAGAGGGGCAAGGAGTGAATTTTGGCTATTTTTATAGTAGCATTGTAATGTTTTTATTAGAGAAAAAGTGGTACTTCTGCTTGAATTTGTCTCCAAACTTTTCATTTTTGTTTTGCACCTGTGAGACTTTGGAAAATCATGAGATTAGAGGCCATCCAGGGAGGCTTGGGGAACAACATAGCAACGCTAATAATAATGAAAATAGCAGACACGTATTTAGCACCTTAACTCATAAATGACAGGGATGGGACCTGAACCCTGGTAGTTTGGCTCCAAAGTCTACATTGTTCTTGCTTAAGTAAATTTGTTTAAGAGCTCATGTGTTTGGTAATCCAACCCTGATGATTTTTGTTATATCGACCACATTTACACGAGAACTACAGCATTTTTATCTGTTTATACTGGAAAATGATTTGATGGCATATAAAAGCCAAATAATGATAGTTTATATTTAGGGAACACTTTCTATGTGCCCACTGCTTTACCTGCATTCCCCTGCTTAATAATTACAACTCCCATTTTTACAGATGAGGAAACAGGCACGAAGAAATCAAGTGACTTTCCCAAGATCATACAGCCTCCTAATTGGTGAAGTCTAGTTCTGAACCCAGATACCCCGTCTTTGCTGTGTATGCTTCTAACTACTGAGATACCTGTTAAATGACTTGCAAAATTAAGTCCCTCCTTTCTTAAAAGAGGCAAGCAAGATGGCTAGGAATACATTTTGAGTGTAGTGCCCATTCTTTCTCACTGTACGTCCTGTGATGTAAACATAATATCAAAGACTTCTACTTTTTGCTTTTCCTATTTCCTTCTCCTAAATTTCTTTCTTATAAAATCTCACCCATTTCCAAGACCCAACTCTAATGATACTACCTCCTTATAGCTTCCATTCTAGAAGTGATCTCTATCTTCCCAAGGCTCCTTCTTTTAATGCTGTAGCATTATTTTCTCCTGTGCTTTGGAAACTCTTGTTTACATGTCTTATTTCCTGACAGATCATGTACGTCCTAATGCCAGCAACTTTGACTTTTGCCTCTCATTCACTCTATATGATGAGTTCTTGGCCAGATTTTGCTAAATCGAATTGTGACTTGAGAATTGGGTCACCACATGAGTATGTATAACCTCCTGACCAGGGCAAACAAAAACATAAACAAAAACCAATGTGTTTTTTCTGGCTCTAATTTTCCAACTTTGAAGTTTATGCTGACTAGATCTCTTATATGCCCTTTCAACACTGCTTGCTTGATAACACTTGGCAGGCTTAAAGTTAATTTAGTGATTTTTTCCCCCTTTAACCAATTTTCAAATTTGCAATCTGTTGTGGGACAACTTTACATGGCGTATATTTTTGTAAAATCTTTTACGTGTACAAAAATGTATATTTGTAATACTTGAGTTATTCAGAAAGTAGATGGTGCTAAAAAAATAAAAATACTGTCAATTAAATGAAGGTCCTTAGGTTAACAAAATTAATGCCTAATTGTGTTTATAAAAGTTTCATTGATTTGTAATTTTGAAATAAGAAATGTTACCCCTGTTCTCCTTTTCGTAAAATACGTGGAGACATTTATAGGAGAGGGAAGACACTGGAGAAAATAACTCAAGTTACAGTTATTTATACTTTGCTTATTCCAGAAAGAGCCATTAGGAGCTTATAAAGAGACAGAAAGTATGATAGGTTGTCATACATTAAACCCAGGGCGCAAAATAAGAGAAAAACAAGGGTTGGGAGCAAAGCAGAGCTGGAGTCAAGCAGAAATGCTCAACAAAATATACACGTGGGCAATATATTTGGCTCTGAGATTTTCAGTACTCAATTTGAAAAGTGAAACCTCTGATTAAGGCCCACTCAGCTGCATTTCTGCCCTAACAAGTTGTGGCCTGTTTTTTGCAAATGAACCAGGCTGGCCAAATTCAAGTTACAGAGGAAATCTACCTTGTGGGTAGAGAGTGCAGAGAACTGAATGCCCGTCCTCTGAATCTCTAACGAGCCAGGCTGCTTCCACCATTGGTCCATTGTGTTCCAGTGTTCTACCTTTGTTCTTTGTCCTGACCTACACTCCGTGTATCTCTGCATATCTCTAGGACAGTCTCATAATGTGACAGAACTGGAGACAGAGACACACAGAGGCAGAAAGCCCTCCTTCAAGATAAGCAGGGTTAGAATAATCATAATCCAGGAAAACCCAATAACTCAAGAAAAAGAACTGCCCCAGGATTGCTGAGGCAAAGTGAAACTACAACGCTGATTGGACATGTCACCAGAGGTTTTCACCAATCTTGAAGCAACCTGCTAAGATCTGGAATTCAGATTCTTTTCTTCCTCCACATTTAGAGCCATAGGAAGCTACGGAATTTATTTGCAGTTTTTTAAAAAAAAGATGGAATAAAGAAAAAAATTAATGTGTTATGGGCTTATTAATTATCTTGAAATGAAGGAGGTTTCGATAGATGCTGTAGAAAGAAAACGTATACGGCATGGTGGTGGTGGTTATGTTTTGAGAGAGCGGGAGTAGGGACAGATAATTATGGCATGAGGCAAGACACCATCCTGGTTGAATGGTGCATGCAGCGAGGATATAGCTTTTGAGAAATAGGAAGCCAATTTTAGCTTGAATGACAGGGAAGGAGGTGGTTCTTAAAAAACAGGCTGGTTTTTCCATCAGTGGAATTGATGGAAAGGGCATTCTAGGTTAAGTGAGTAAAATAATCAAATATCTGAAGGAAGGAAAATGACAAGCATTTAAGTAAAAGGGTGACTAGACATTTCTATTGGATAAATAAAGCTGGAAGACACTGTGCAGTGTCTGAAAGCCCATCTATGAATTTTGGACTTGATTCCATAAGCAACAGAGAACGCTGAAGTTTGCAAGCAGAAGTGACACGACATTCTTGACATTCTGGTTCATGGACTGCAACCCCCTCCCATGACCCATGGGACTGTAAGCTCCTTGAAGACAGAGGCCATGACTGTTCTGCTTACTGTATATATACGGTGTCTCACACAACGTCTGGTATATGATGTGTCTGCAACACATACACTGAATTAATGGATGAACTTATCTGGAGGTGGTTTAGCAGAGGAATTAGTTTGGCGAAGAGACGGGGAACAAAGTGAGCATTCGTTCCATAGCTTCACATTTGAATACCTACAATATGCCCAGCTCTGTGAGAAGTGCTAAGAACACAAAGATTAATAGATGTGATGCTGCCCTCAGGGTGGCCAAATTCAAGGGGAAAGGATGTTGTGTAAGCTATACATTCTACGAGCCCGAGATGTTTTGAAAGAGAGGTAAGCATGGTGTTGCCACCAGGCAAGGAGTGAACAGCTCTATCCAGGAAGACTTGGGCAAGTGCTTGCCAGGAGGGTAAGTCACGCCCTGACCCAAGCTCAGGAGCAACAGGCTGCAGATGCCCAGGTGTGGAAAGACCAGACACACAGAAGACAGACAAATTGGGGACCCAAGAGAAAAGGCTCTGGGTTTTGAACTGGATTCTGAATGTACATTTCTTTCATATGAAGTGCTGCTTGCTTCAAGGTGCCTACTATTAAGTTCCTGGTCTTTGCAACTATTGATGCCAAATCCATCTCTCCACCCGTTCTCCAAGAGTTGATTTCTGATACAGGCCGCCCGCTCTGCTGCAAAGGGAATGGCGGCAAGCTGCGGCAGCTTTCCACTCCTCCCTTGGAGTCACCTGGGCTTGCTTTCTCTGTGCTGGCTAATTTGTCTCTTGCAAACTTTTCTAGGAGTTGTGCTAATGGTAAGGGGGTTTAGAATCTCTTGGGCCTAGAAAACCTGCTCCTTTTTTGCCATGTATCATGATATTTTGGGTGTAACATGGGAAAATTTGCTTGGGCTGTTACTTCATGTTAGATATCATTTGGATTAATAGTTCATATTCAGAAATTACCTAATTTGTAATGACAAATTTTATTCATTTAGCAAAATTCATCTGTATAATAGGAATAATTATGAGGATTAAAAGAGTATGTACAAAGCAATTAGAACTATGCTTGACACATAGCAAGTGTTTTATAAATTACTATTTATAATTACTCATGCAATTTTCGTAACTCTTGAGTTATATACTATTATTATTTCCATTTTAATGATACAGAAACTGATGCACAGAGAGATTGAGTAAATTTTCTAAGATTATGCAGCTAGTTAATGGGAGATTTCAACTCATAGAATCTGGCCAGGGAATTTGTTCTCTTAACCACTAAGCATTGCTGGCTCAGCCTGTTGTCTTTTGGTGGTTGTAGATTGGCTGCCTGAATTGAGATAGAAAAGTAGTTTTATAGGATGGAAGATTTATTATTAACACTTTGAAAATTTGACTGTGGCTGGCATATGATAAAAAAGGATTTTAGTTTTGTTAACTATTAAACAATGTCTTTATTATAATCCATTTTTCTGTAAGCTGACCTTATAAAAAGTCAGGCATATTCACTTTGAATAAAGAAATGATTTTTTTTTTGTTTTTATTTTTTGAGACAGAGTTTCACTTTTCTTGCCCAGGCTGGAGTGCAATGGCGCGATCTTGGCTCATTGCAACCTCTGCCTCCTGGGTTCAAGTGATTCTCCTGCCTCAGTCTCTCGAGTAGCTGGGATTACAGGCATGTGCCACCATACCTCGCTAATTTAGTATTTTTAGTAGAGGCAGGGTTTCTCCATGTTGGTCAGGCTGGTCTTGAACTCTTGACCTTGGTGATCCACGTGCCTCGGCCTCCCAAAGTGCTGGGATTACAGGTGTGAGCCACTACGTCTGGCCGGAAATGATGTCTTCATGCTGATTTACATTAAATACTTTAATGAAATAAGACAACAAGTGCAACATATTATAACTTTGTTTGGTAATATATGGAATATATATGGAATAATTTACTGAAAAAGGATTTTTTTGTTTTGTTATACTCTGCTTACCTCATCTGTAATAATTTAGCTAATTATAGAACGTCCTTCATTTGTACTTTGGAAAAAACAGGATATTTGTCTATACCATGCTCAACTTTATTGTGGTATCAGAAAAAAATCTCAGGGTTATCCCAATTATAGACAAATATTGGTAAGTGAAACTATTTGAATACTGATAACCTGACAATTTATTATTGCAAGTGGAAGCATAGTCAAGGTGTTGTAGTTACATTTTTACTTATGGTAAATTTGCTAATATATTTTAATGTATTTTATAAATATGATTGAGTAATCAGGATGTTCAGACTGATTAAAAGTGATAGAATCTTCTTTATTGTTATATCCCTAACACCAGGAAAATAGTGTGTACACCTGGTAAATATTGAAGAATGAATGAATGTATGATGACTCATTCTCAATTTGGGCACCCTGCTCTATATCAGAGTGTTCTACCTGGATCCAGGAGCTGTCTAGTCAGCTTGCACGTTTGAATCACATGAGAAACTTCAAAACCTCCTGATGCCAGGTGTCACCCCAGACCCATATCTGTTTTAGGTGCTGGGGTAATAGCACTGAACAAAAACAGGCAAGTTCCTGCTTGTGTTGAGGTGACATTACAATCAAGGGAGACTAAAAGTACATAAATAACTGTCAGATACGATAAGTGGTGTTACAAGCTTTGAAGAAAAATAAAACAGTGTAAGGTAGATGTTCAAGTCAAAGATACTTGATTTGAATCTTGGAAAACCCTTACATTTGAAAGGGTTGTTATCTTAATCATTGGCCTGGAAAAAACCTCATTCTCCTCATCCTCCCCATATTTTGTTACTTTCTTTATCCCGTGTTGAATTGTGATCCTCATGTACTCTATGCTTCTATTTCTGTAGCTTCCAGCCATTAACTTCAATAGTGCCCAAAATAGCATGACGAAGTCTGAGCCCGCCATCAGGGCGGGTGGACACAGAGCTCGGGGTCAGTGGCATGAGTCCACAGAAGCTGTTGAACTTGAAAATTTTAGGTAAGAAATCCAGCATCTCCTTCGTCTTCAACAACTTATTCTACTTAGCTCACAGTTTTATTTAAGTTTATCCCAGGGCCTAAAATTAAAAACCCGCTTCAGTAGTTACCATAGAGATTCTTAATTTAATATTTTTAGTTAGTGCTTAAACCATTCCCAGAAATAATATGCAAATAACAGGTTTAATGGGTACAGGTGGAACTGACCTGGGAGATTTAGGACACTCTGCTGACATGCGTTTGGCATTGCTCAACGAGGAAGTGGTTCCAGATTATTGACCTGGTTAGGCTTATCCCAATCTTTGTCTGTCTAGATCTTGCCAGTAATGAGACGGCATAAAAGGAGCCGTTGCTGGGAACAGATGTGGTGGTTAAAGTATGTGGTTGTCAAAACAACTGAGGTTTTCGGTTGAAGGGGTTGCGGCACACCTCTAACATTGAAAGTGTCAGGTAATGTTCATCTCTGTTGCCACGCAGACCCCTGCAAAGCTCCACGTTCTTGTGGGCCACTCCCGTCTCGGGAGCTGGTTCTCTCAGTTTTACAGTGTGCTTGGGTCATTTGGCACTAAGTACCATGTAAATAGTGAGCGGCATGAAATATCAATATGAATATTCTAGAAGGATCGTTTGTTTATTTGGCCTAGATTTTGTTTTTGTTTCCCTGTCATCTTATGACGATGAATTTAATAGTATGGGAAAGTTACATGACATTTCATGGGTTCATATTTTAAAAACATATTTTTAGTGAGGAGCACTTAACTACTTAAAAAATTGTCATATGGTGAGTACCAGTGCCCGTGTACTAAGAAACCATTACAGCCCTCAGGTGACTAGGATGGGGACATGCTGTCCAATGGCATTTGAAAGACAGAAGGCAGAACATTACACATGGCAACATAAGGTTATACTCGTTTCCTTTGAGGTTGTATGTTCATGGAATTCCAGCTTATTTGTCCTAGATCTTAAAATTAGTTTTATTTAATTACGTGCAAAAATATCATATCGTGTATTTGGTAGCAATGTGACCATTTTGTTTATTATCCCTTATCCTTTTCCAGTTTTAAAATAGAATGTTTTAGAGGTATTTTTAACCTCTTTGGTGAGCTGTAAGATCAGCAAAAAGAAGCTGAAGCTGGAATATCTTAGAATTTTGTTAAACACACACACAAAAACCATATAAACAATCAACAGTGACAGTCAACATGGCTGAAGGTGTATAAGCTGTGTTTAATAAACTCTTCTTATCTAGAAGGAATTATAAATGATGACCACTGGTGTTGACAGTGAGATCAGCCAGTGGGATCGAGGGTATGTGGAAAAGTGGAGAGGGAATTCTTCTCTTCCTATTACACAGTTGTCTAAATAATGTGCCCCAATCATTCTTTCTCTCCATTTACCCTTTTCTTCCTCCAACCAATTTTAGCTGTTAGTGTTTATAGGGAATAATTTAATGGATATGGTAAAAGGAAATACATACGCTTTACTATATTTTATTTTTAACCTTATAATTGAATTTCTAGTTCCTATTTTAACAGTTGGTATTTGCTTTTAGCAACATGTTAAATGCAAGTCTCCTTCAATATTTGCCTGAATCCTCATTAGTATACTGGTTAGTAATGAAAAAAACATTACCTGAATATAGATGATCTTTGTCTGCATTGGTGACTTTGAGACAGCCTAATCTCTATAACAAAATCCTTTTCTGTTTGTTTCGTCTCAGTATAAACTACAAGAATGAGAGAAATTTCAGCAAACATCCTCAGCATAAACTATTTCAGGAGATCTTTACAGCCTTGGTGAAAAATAGACTCATATGCAGGTAAGATTGTTCCTGGAAAACAGGCTTTTACTCAAGAGTGGCATATGTCATCTATCTTGTCTCTAGAACATGATTTGAAACATTTCCAGGATTGAACATGTCATTAAAGGAGAGAAGGAGGTGAATGAGTAGGCATTACAGATGATCTTATTAAAATCACTGATGAGGTACTGAATTTAGCTGAATTTGATGACAGATAAGGAAAAATGGGAAAACACTCAAGTTATGTTTTCTTTATTTTCTTTGAGTTTGGATACTGAAGGAGGAGTTTATTGTGTGGGATCTTATGAAAGAGACACTGGACGACACCACGGACAACATTCTCATAGTGCACTTTTGCAGTGATTTAATGACTGATTAAATGGACTGCGCAAGCCTTGACCTTGAGGAAAGAAAGGATGAGTCTGTAAAAACCAGCCACAGCCTCATAAAGATGTTTCTTCTTTCTTTCTTTGCCTTGTTAACACGGGTGCAGTGTTGGGACTGTAGAGAAAGAATTAGTTAACAAGTCCTCTTGATTCTCTCTCACAAATATCAGCGGTTTTCAGGGAGCCATTGATTGTTGCTGGATTGCAGTCAGGTCTGAATTTTCTGTCCATTCTGAGCTGCTTCATAGAAAAACTGGGTATGCTGCTGCCAGATGCGAAGGAGGCTCCTAACAGTCTGTCACGATAGGGTCCTGTCTTTTGCTCTTTTCAGGAGGCCCATACTCTTCCCACATGCATCAGCTGAAAAATGCCTATAAAGAATCTTAAGTCTTCCTTGTCACTTTGTGACTTGATTGAGATATGTGAATTCCATCCCAGTGAAAATGGAAAAACATTATTTCTATTGTGAAAAATAAAAATAGGAGTATTAATAATTTAATACCTTGATCAAAATAAAACTGACTTGGCCCAGTGCAATAGCTTATTTTAAGTAGAACAGCATTCTGATGGGTCCTCCATGACGAGTCAGCTACTCGATACATGCTTAATTGATGGCCTCATGTCTCCATCTTTTGGATGGGGTCATGTAGCATTATGTATTTAAGTATTGGACTTAAATGACTGTCCTATACATTAGTTTTCTTTAAAACAATACAGAATTGAGACTGCATCTGTCACGTCTTTGTACTTAATTTAAGCAGAGGATTATTAGACTGGCTCGGATGATACAAGAAGCCTAAAATCTTTACCAAGGTTATGTAATTGGGTCAGTGTTCAGTTCTCGATTACACACTCAAAGATTGTTCAAAGATTAATGAACACTGCAAATAACCTGAAGTTATGTGTATATATATATATATATATATATATATATATATATATTTCAACTGTTTTTTGCTTAGATTGAACAGAGTGAAACAATGGTAGTAGCAGAATCACTATGCATAAAACAGTATTAGGAAATAAAGTTTTTTTTTTTTTTTTTTTTAAAGCCAGCTCACATGGACTCTTCAAGGGATGCCCAGTAGACTATTTATTGGGTCAGTACTTTGGGGGAAGGCACTAGATGCAGAAATTGTTAGGGAAAATAACTGGGCACTGGTTGGCATCAACTAATTGAAAAAGATCTCAACAATTCTAAAGTTGAGAGATCTCTTTTCAGAGTGTTTTAAAATTCTTAGTAATTGAAGGGGCATCTTAGGCTGGATGAAGTTACTGGCTGGTAACAAGAGCAGTCCCTGGAAGTCTTCAAACTAGGAATAGATAATTGTAGATCTCTTTGCTTTCATAGTACGAGATGGAATTTAGGAATGTCGAACATCAAGGGTGTCCTTTAATGTCATCCTGTGGCTGCTGACAGCTTGCTATGTTCAGTTCTATTCTAAAAGCATTGGGTAAAAGATGGCTTAAATATAAAGGTTTTCCATTGTGCCTCACCCCATATAACCTTGCTAAAATAGCCGGGATCATCCGTCCTTTTTTTTCTTCCCCTCTAACTTTAGACTTATAGAAGAATTACACCTCAGGACCCTTTCTGATATGGCTTGTTATCCCTTTGTTTGCAAACATCAGATTTAGTGTTGGGTTGAAGGTTTAGATTCAATTTGATAAACAAACTGGTAAGCATCTACTATATGTAAGGAAGGGATTAAGTAAGTGGTAAAGAAGGGTGAAATTTAAAAAATTAACAGGACATATGGTCCTTTTCTCCCTGGGAACTCAAATTCTACTGTGATCAGCAAGACAATTACCCAATAAAGGAAAATGTACTAAATATATACAATTTGTATTAACACAACTAACTAAAGGCTGCATGAGATTGGGGGTGGGTGGGAATTTGGGTCCTTGGCCCAATTATGGTTGTAGATAAGACTATAGATAAGACATTCAGCATGTTATGCTACTCAATTTTGCCCTGAAAAATATGACTTACTGGGAATTTAGTCTCATTTGTGAAGTGTGACCCCTTTCAACTCACTTCTCAATGCCTACCCAATTGGTGGTAATGTTGCTCTTGTATTTTACTCACCCCAACTCTAGCCTTTCCCTAAATCATACTTGTGGACACCTCCTTTCTGTATTCTTTTCTGTGATTTGTGATTACTCCCCCATTCTCAGAATGAAACTGCCAGATGGCATCTGAAACTGGAAAAGACTTGTTAATCCAGAGTCAGATAAGGTAACACTGCAAATACCTCACAGTAAATCTCAAAGGACAAGGGAAAGTGTCATCCCTGAGCGTGGGGTTACTCCTAGTTACACAATGGTAACTAATCTTTTTTAAAAAATCCTTGTATAATAGTATTTATAATATACTGCTATATAATATTTTACATATTTATGGGGTACATGTGGTATTTTGTTACATAGAATGTGTAATGATCAAGTCAGGGTATTTGAGGTGCCCATCACGTTGAGGATTTGTCATTTCTATGTGTTGAGAACTCTCTTCTAGCTACTTTGAAATAGACAATACGTTGTTGTTAATTATAGTCACGCTACTCTGCTGTCAAATGATGGAACTCATACCTTTCGTTTAACAATACATTTGTACCCGTTAACCTACCTCTTTATCCCCCCTTGCACTCACCCACCCTTCCTGGACTCTGGTATCTATTATTCTACTCTCTATCTTTATGAGACTGACTTTTTTTTAAGCTCCCATATGTGAGTGAGACCACACAATATTTGTCTTTCTATACCTGGGTTATTTCACTTAACATAATGCCTTCCAGTTCCATCTATGTTGCTATAAATGATGTGATTTTTTCTCTTTTTTATGGCCAAATAATGTTTCATTTTGTGTGTATACTACATTTAAAGAATTCATTTGTTTGTTGGTAGACACTAAGGTTGATTCCATATCTTTGCTTTTGTGAACAGTGCTGCAATAAACACATGAGTGCAAGTATCCCTTTGTTATACTGATTTTTTTTTCTTTGGATAGATACCCAGTAGCAGAACTGCTGGATCATATGGTTCTATTTTTATTTTTTTGAGAAATCGTCATAAAGTTCTCCACAGCAGTTGCACTAATTTGCATTCCCACAAACAGTGTATGAGTTCCCTCTTCTCCACATCCTCATCTGTTAGTTTTTTGTCTTTTAATCGTAGCTGTTCTAACTGGGGTAAGATGATATCTCATTGTAATTTTGATTTGCATTTCTCTGATGATTAGTGATGCTGAACTTTTTTTCATGTACTTGTTGGCTATTTGTATGTCTTCTTTTGAGAGTTGTAAATTCATGTCCTTTGCCCACTTATTTTATTTTATTTTACTTTAAGTTCTGGTATACATGTTCAGAAAGTGCAGGTTTGTTACATAGGTATACATGTGCCATAGTGGTTTGCTGCACCTGTCCACCTGTCGTCTAGGTTTTAAGCCCCACATGCATTAGGTGTTTGTCCTAATGCTCTCCCTCCTTTTGCCACCCACCCCCTAATAGGCCCCAGTGGGTGATATTCCCTTCCCTGTGTCTGTGTGTTCTCATTGTTCAACTTCCACGTATGAGTGAGAACATGCGGTGTTTGTTTTTCTGTTCCTGTGTCAGTTTGCTGAGAATGATGGCTTCCGGCTTCATCTATGTCTCTGCAAAGGACATGAACTCATTCTTCTTTATGGCTGCATAGTATTCCATGGTGTATATGTGCCACATCTTCTTTATGCAGTCTATCATTGATAAGCATTTGAGTTGGTTCCAAGGCTTTGCTATTGAATATAGTGCTGCAATAAACATATGTGTGCATGTGTCTTTATAGTAGCATGATATATAATCCTTTGGGTATATACCCGGTAATGGGATTGCTGGTTCAAATGGTATATCTGGTTCTAGATCCTTGATGAATTACCATGCTGTCTTCCACAATGGTTGAACTAATTTACACTCCCACCAACAGTGTAATAGTGCTCCTGTTTCTCCACAACCTCGTCAGCATTTGTTGTTTCCTGACTTTTTAATAATTACCATTCTAACTGGCATGAGATGGTATCTCATTGTGGGTTTTGTTTTTGTTTTTGTTTTTGTTTTTGTTTTTTTGAGATGGAGTCTTGCTCTGTGGCCCAGGCTGGAGTGCAGTGGCCTGATCTCGGCTCACTGCAACCTCCGCCTTCTGGGTTCAAGAGATTATCCTGCCTTAGCCTCCCAAGTAGCTGGGACAACAGGTGTGCACCATCACACCCAGCTAGTTTTTGTATTTTTAGTGGAGTCAGGATTTCATCATATTGGCCAGGCTAGTCTTGAACTCCTGACTTCGTGATCCTCCCACCTCAGCCTCCCAAAGTGCTGGGATTACAGGCATGAGCCACCATGCCCAACCCTCATTGTGGTTTTGATTTGCATTTCTCTAATGACCAGTGATGATGAGCTCCTTTTCATATGTTTGTTGGCTGTATAAATGTCTTCTTTTGAGAAGTGTCTGCTCATACCCTTTGCCCACTTTTTGATAGGGTTGTTTTTTTCTTGTAAATTTGTTTAAATTTCTAGTAGATTGTGGATATTAGACCTTTGTCAGATGGGTAGATTGCAAAAATTTTCTCCCATTTATAGGCATGGGCAAGGACTTCCTGACTAA